TCGCTCCAACATGCCGATACCTACTGCTGCACAATGATCGATCGGCTCACTGGCTTATCGCGTGCTCCAAACAGCCGCCTAAGACGACAATCATCGATCGGCTCACTGGCTTATCGCGTGCTCCAAACAGCCGCCTAAGACGACAACTTGCCCGTTTGAAGCTTCAAGAGGGAACATTATGTCGGCAAATTTACTATCCTCTCAGTAACCAATGGGTTCCCGTCATTCCTCGCTCACTTCGCCTGGAAGTTCTACAAGCGTTTCATGACGATGCGACAGCTGGCCACTTAGGGTTCTACAAGACCTACGACCGCCTCAAGACTCGCTGCTTTTGGCCTGGCCTCTCCACTTCTGTCGCCAAGTACGTCGCTTCCTGCGCGTCATGCCAGCACCGAAAACGTACCACGTCTCTTCCCGCGGAGCCATTGCAACCACTGCCGTGCCCGTCCACTCCCTTTGAATTTGTGGGCATACACTTATACGGACCTCTTCCGCTTACGCCAGCCGGTCACCGTTGGATTGTTAATGCCGTAGACCACCTTACTTGCTACGCGGAGACGGCAGCTCTTTCATCTGGTGCTACCTCTGAAGTAGCCAATTTTTTCCTTCGCGCCATTATTTTACGACATGGCGCACCGCGTCTGCTCCTTAGTGACCGTGGCAAGACATTTCTTTCACATGTCCTTGCTGAAGTCTTACAGGCCTCTAACACCATCCACAAGACCACATCAGCGTATCACCCAGAAACTAATGGTCTGACTGAGAGTTTTCACCGAACTTTGTCAGACATGATCTCTATGTACGTGCAACCGGATTACAAAAACTGGGACACAATACTTCCTTTCGTTACGTTCGCATATAACACTGCTATATAGCGTACGACGAATTTCAGCCCTTTTTTTCTCGTGTATGGCCGTGTACCGACTTTTGTTCTGGACACCACCTTTTTGTCCACATCTTCCCATCCATCTTTATCTCTCCCAGAAGAGTTCGCCGCTCGCGTCGCCCGCTGCGGTGAAATCGTCCGCGCCAACACTGCTACCATTCAGGACAAGAGAAAAATCGACATTGATGCGAAGCGTCGAGTTGTTGTGTTCCGCCCAGGCGACGAAGTCCTTTTGTGGACACCTGTTCAAGTACCACCTGGGCTCTGCAAAAAATTCCTTCACCGATATCTCGGTCCATACACTGTCCTGGAACGAACATCTGAAGTCAACTATCGCGCTGCTCCTGTCAACGCGGCTCCTGATCACCGTCACCGCCACACCGAGATCGCCCACGTCTCTCAACTGAAACGATATATTCGGCGTCCCAACCCTTTCTAACTTGCTGCCCTCTTTCGCGAAGGGGGGAAAATGGCGTGAGCGCTGAATACGTACTTCATCTTTATCTGTATGACCAAACCATTGTAGTGATCATCATCGTATGTCACGCGGGCTGGCTCACTGGCTCGTGCGTCTGGATTAAAAAGATAACCCGGTTGCTGCCGTACAGGACGTGGTCTCATACTATATCTATTGCAACAGTAATCTTCGTTTGCTTCTATTGTAATTGACATTTTGTTATATCCAGGTTCATTACATCGAGGTTTGGGTGTAGTATATTACAAACTAGTATTAGATTTTGATCATGGGTGCAAGCAGTGTGGCTGCGGCTACATACATGAAAACATGGTATTTCGCTTGCTCTGAGGCTAATACTGATGACACAATGGGAATCGCTGACCGTGACGACGCTCAAGCAGGATAAAAACTTTATAGCAGTGATTGGCTCCTTTCTGCAGCTTTTTTTAAAGAAACTAACCACGGTTAGGAAGTGTGACCCAAATCATGCCTCATCACAGTAAAAAGTGACCGTGTGACACCAGTATAAGATCTGCAATACTTTTCATATAGTAACAGCATAATATAAATGTCATGAATATAATATGCCAAGCATGACGTTACGGGAATTACAAGACGCTTACTTACATCTTTATTTAAAATGTGACACTGAGCTTTTTGACTACAAATACAAGCACTACCGTAATACAAAACTCTATAGTTTTTGTAGCACAGTCAACGTATAATTTTTTTAGTTTTATAAGGACTGCACAATTGCTTGAAAAAACAAATGCATGCCTTATACTGCCCTCAAGGGCTGAAATCGACAAATCCACTCGCTAATCATATAGCTCAAAAGACCTGCCTATACACTTATTAGGTATTTCAGTGCTCACATTCCAACTGAAGAAGGCAAGTGCACATGTAATGCATACCAGTATGTCTCATAAAGGTGACCCTTTCCATTCTTGGTATGCATTCTTTTCTGTGATATGTTATGTACCCTTCAACAGGTCAACACTGAAATGCAGCAAAGTGACTTACGAAAACTAGTATCACTCAACACTGAGACTCTTTTCATGCTTCAAAACCATAGGTGAAGATGGCTAAAGTAAAGTCAGCACCATTTTTGATAGTAGCAAATTATTTTAATTAAAACCATGACACTAAAGGACAGGATGCATTTTAGAACATATATAAAACCACGAAAGACAGTGGCTATGACTGCAGCAACAGCTGCCAGTAGAGTGGGGCACAGGAGTGCTGATTGAAGGCTATGACATAATTAGAGTGGCATTTACAGTTAAAAAGGCATCAATTATTGCTGTTTAAGATGACAAAGAATTTCAGCAACAAACATTTTAGACGTATTTATAAACTGGCTCTAAGGGGTGCCTTACTATTAAGGTGCCACCACCTAATCAACCACACATGTTCAAAAAATACAGCATCTGAAAAACAGTGATTATATTACCTGCCAGCTATGAAAGAGCCTGATGGACCTGTACAAGGTCAAATGCCTCTTTTCAAAGATAGCTGCAGGCCATTGTTTTTAAAAATAAACTAAAACTATACTACTGAAGTATCCGCATATGCTGTGGGAGGGTCCGGCACAGTACAGACACACTAACGCCACGACCCTTTCGTCGAAGCTCCATGAGGCTCTGCAGAGCCCCGCTCTTGATGACCAAACCTGGGCGACCCAGCACGCCCGTGAGGCGGCGTCGAGGCAAGCCCTTGACGTCCCCTCATGAGAGGCTTAGGCCCGGCCACCTAAACCTGCTGGTTTCTTATAATAAAGTTTATTCCTCCTTCTATACTGGAGTTCAACGACTCCAAAGCATTTATCTAAGCACCATTCCATTTGTCCATTTAAGTTATGTGGGTGCCACATAACCACGCTGTACAAATGCAACAGCCATGGTGCACACTCAACAAAACTTGAAGTGGCCTTGCAACACTTTTTCAGAACGGTCAGAAAACACTGCCAATAATTAGCCGAGTTTCGTGAACACGCAAGCCAAAAATTATAGCGCAGCATGCAGGTTAGAATATACAAATAATTTAATTGTTCCCACTTCTTACATATAGTTATTTATTCACTTTTTTTGCACTAATAATTCCATTAACTAAAATGCCATGTACCGAAATTCATGACCATTGGCTGATTTGAGCATCACGGGTTGCGTAGCTAAGGTGGCTGCCACGTGTGCACTCACATTGAAGGTAAGGAGCAAGTTTGAAGAAACAAAATAAATAAAAAAGTGCTCAAAGTCATGGCATGTGTGTGGTGTCATTTTTTCCCCATTGGCACCGCTCCTTGCTTAGCTTTCGTCATGCTAGTTGGGGCAAGAGAAGTGAGAAAGCAATTACAGTGTATGACAAATCTCTGTAACTCCCCTTGTACTTGATAGATTTCAAGAATTTTTGCGGCAATCGATTCGCGAGGCAATAAGCACCTTTAATAAAGCCATTTAATGGCTACTTGGAAAAGTGTTGCAGGGCCCCTTTGAACGCAACACAACATGCCTGTACAGGCAGCATCCATATTAGAAGAGGGTTGTGGGAAAATGTACAGGCAGTTAACAAGGCAATCCTACTTCGCAAAACTGGTGCGCAGGCCATAGATCACCCTTTTTATGCTATAATAATGACCTTGTTCAAATATAGCTGATTCCACTGTATTATGCCCATTAAACTGCACTACAGTATGATCGCATTATTATTTTTTTAAAGTTGTAAAAGTGCTCCTCATATTGTGCAAATGGAGTATTTCGGGGGCGTGAACTTGCAGATTGCTAATACTTGTATATTTAAATTATGGTACTTCTTGCGGCCATACTTCGACAAAATCAAATAAAGAGAATAGCCAATGCAATTCCCTTAGCATCTTTTAATCCCATAGAATGTTTGCACACATACAACATGAGCTCATCAGATGGACACATCATTCTTGAACATTCTGTGAAGAAGAAGATGTGCATGCGGCAAGTACTTGAATTACTGTACTGAAGTACAGTTCAAGTACTTTGAATTAGCAGTGCATGCTCACATTTACAGCCATTCAGTATTTTTTAAAAGGTGTTTTTGTAAGTGCTAGCAAATGAAAAAAAAAAAAAAAAAGCAGCAGCACAAGCCATATCTTGCTACAGTACCAGTGAAAATGTGGTGTTTGGCCACTTGGTTTGCTATGACAAAGCAAAATGGTAGCTCAGTAGAAGCTATAGAGCTAGTTGGTACATGCCACTTCGAGTAAATAAGACACATGACAACAGAATAGACAAGCACAAAAAACAGTGCAACAACACCCAGCTGACTGAAAATTTCAAGCCCAAACCTCCTTTCTTCTTCGTTATTCCATTGTAGTGTGTCTTATTTATTCAAAGTAAAATGGTCGTTACATAGGCTTGCCAGTATTGTCTAACTGGCTTTTGAGCATTATAAGTAACAGAAGAGGGGACACCACGCAGCACTATGTCATCCCCCCTTTTCCTATGTGTGTCAAACAGTTAATAGGTTCATTTCTGTAATGAGAACACAACAGTCCATAGTCAAGTAACTATTCAAAACAGATGGCACTAGGGTTAACCACATCAGTGATGAAACGCTAGTAATCTGCCACTAAAGAAACCTCGCTAGCTATTCTTGCTGCTGCCTTAATGTAGAATGCATGCCTACCTGTGGGGATGGAACCTCACTTTTACTAGGCAGCTTCCCTAGAAACCACGAAGAAATACTTCTGCCAACTGTACTCTGGAGAAAAGATGGAGTGATTGCAGATGCTTCATAAATTTAACTGCACATAAAAATAGTCTTTTTTTTAAATCTCTGCCACAGCAAATTCTGAACTACAGCATAACTTTTGTGTACTGCAGTGCTTACAACAACCTGCACCCAATAACTCGTCAGAATGCGGAGGAAAAGGAAAGAAGTACTGACTGAGTGCTTCATCATTTACCTGCCTCACCTCTGTTGCCAAGAAAGCAGTAGACTGTTCAGCCATCAAACTAATTAAAATGAGACTCTGTAAGTTCGCAGTAGATTATTTTTAAATTCTAAGCAGGAAATACAATAACAAAATTCATAGCCTTTATGATGTACAGTACTATTATTTTTAAATTCTCAGCAGGAAATACAATAAAAATATTAATAGCATTTATGATGTATGGCCATGCTTACAAGTTGTGGCTAAGCAAAAAAAATATAAGTACAATAATATATCTAAAAAATTAGAAAAATTTAAATTTATAATTTACAATGATATATCTAGAAAATATAGTCCCACTAAAGTTATTACAACTTGTGAATATCTGCTCTTATAGTTCAAACATTAGCCTCACCGACTACACCAGGGATTTCAAACACGAGAACCTCGGACCTATTGCTGGCGGCCTAGCATGCACGTGGCCGTATTTTCCCCATATATTTTTTTTATTTTCTCAGTAAATGTATTAATGATTTACACAGACACAACTGGGAGCAAGCATTTTTTTTTTTTTTTTTGGTGAGACACCCAACGCAGTCACCATACGTTAAAACATAACCATGAAACGAAAACACTGTCGTATTTTAGAATAGCACTTGAATTTCATTAATTCTGGAGAGATCAGTATGGATATGTTCCTCGAAACCTGACATCATATTGCCTTAAGAAATGACCCATACATGAGTTACAGGGAACCTTTATTTTACATGGGAATATTAACTTACATTTTGTTACCACTAAAGTGGCTGCTAAGTCAACTAGGTGTCAAGGTGCAACATCTCACTGCAAACTCTTGGAAAATAATGCCATGAAAACTTGACGGTCAGCAGAGTGGTTGTTCATAGAGACGGCCTAAAGGAGCTGTTGTGGTAAGCTTGCTATAAATACATTTTATTAACTTTCTGGGAGCTGAAGACGCAAATATAAGCATCCCAAACAGCCACAAGATGGTCAAAAACGTACATGTGTATCATTACCTGCAAGTTTAATATGCAGGAATTTCTAATCATTTTCTTTGCTCAGCATGTGCTGACACATTTTTTGTTTATTTGTTTATTGATACTGTTAACTCTAGAAGGTTCATTACAGGAATGAATGAACAATCATATACAGCTCAATAAGAAACGTTTACGTGACATAAATGTGAACATGATCTTAAGGGCACTATTTATTTCAGATATGCTAAGAGTACAAATAGAAAAGAAGACAAAAAATGAAAAGCACAAATCCACTCGTGTCCACAGCGTGGGGTTAATAATTAGTGTTCAAGAACGCTGAATGACCTGAAGAGGCAAGTGTGTGGAGCTCGTTTAAGAATGCAGTAAAGGAAGAAGAGGAAAGCAGTGAATCAGACAGCATGTTCTGTTCATTAATTGCTCGAGGAAAATAGCTCTTCTTAAAGGAGTCAATTCGCGTCAATGGAGATTCAACAAACATACTGTGCCTGTGCCTGAAACGTGGATTCGGTGATAATTTGAAAAAGTCAGGCCCGTTAATCTTAAGCTTGTTATGAAGAATCAGGAAAAGAAATTGTTATCATAGTGCCGATACCTCTACATTTCTTTTATTTTTATGCTCTACTACAGCAGTACACTGGCTAGTTTCGGTTTCGTCCTTCGGCCAGCTCCCGCTCATTGCGCCTGCAAAGCTGTGGCTTTCTGGATTAGAATATTTCAATGGGTGACAGATTTTTTACCAGTATCTCGTTTATTGCTCTCTTGTACACGATTTCGCCTGCTTCCGTGTGAGCATAGACTGATACAAACAATGCCACTGTGGTTCCGTTTCCTGTTACGAGCACTTGCAAAAATCACTTCCCTTTGGTTGCCGAGAAAAAGAATGATTATTATAGGTTTTGGAATTGTTTTCGCTTGCCGGACCCGCTTACAACTACACAATTTTTTTCAGTGCGCTCAACCGTGCAGTTTGTTGCATTATGGAAGTGCACGCTGGTTTCTTGGCTGAAAAAGTGAGTCTAGTGGCGATTCCTCCAAATCGCTGCTCGACTATTGAACCAAGATCTGATTTAGTCAATGTCAGTCCATTCTACGAAGCATTACTTGCGAGATATAAATTCAAATGTTATAGAGCAAGAGACGTCTCAAAAGCATATGCGGCAATACAATGCTGACTGGAAAAAACGCCCGGCCTGCGCGGAAGGCGCAGCATAGTGACAGCGAAAGCTGGAAGAGCAGCTTTCCAGAGCCCTTTTTAAATACTGATTGGGCAACTGCTGCAATCACACATACTGGGTACCCACTATGGTATTATTAATAACAATTTCTGGGTAGTAGACCAGCATTCGCTATGCTATTTTTTGTAATTCTTCTGGGAAGCGTTGTATCCACTAAACACTTGCTAAGGGGCTTTGAGCCAATTGTTCATGCAGTGGCTGACAACGATAAGAAATTATGTCTGAAGTGGGTATGCGCCACAGTAAATAGGTGGTCAAAAACAAGCTTTTGTAATGGGTTGAAGCATTGGACGACCCACTCGTTACGCTATTCACATTGTGTGATGCCTCGTTCTTTTGCTGGTCTAAGACGCTTTATTACTCATATTAACGCAATTCCTTTCCCGACATGAAGCCTGCCTAAGGCAAGTTTGCGAACAAGTACCAAGCAATGGCGTGGCTCAGTGGTAGATTACTGGGCTGGCACGCAGCGGACTCGTGTTCGAGTCCTACTGTGTCCTGCGTACTTGGTTTTTCTTTCCCTATTTCGCGATAGTGATTACGAACACCGGCGGCGGCGGACCACTACGCCTCCGTGCGTGACCCGAGTTTTGATCTCATAACAACTTTCGCTGTAAAAAACCGGTTTTTCTCCCTTTGTGTTTCCAATTCATGCTCTTTCGTGCACTTATTTTTGTAAATCTATGAACTACACAGACGTTTATTGCAACACGTAAATTTCTAACAGTCATATATGTTTTTGTTTTTAAAATTTATCTTGCTGTTACTCATGAAAAAATCATTAGTAACATGTGACAGCACAAAATATTTTTTTTTGTCACTTCACGAATACCTAAAAAAACGGTTTAGAATATAAAAAAAAACTTTATCCGAAGAATTAAATTCAGCAATAAAAAATAAAAATTTCTGGAATGCAATTCCTTAACAAAATCGAACCTTGAAGGGTTAAATGGTTCAGTACCAAACCACTAAAACGCATGTGCAAGCTTAATCAACAACAGTAGTAACAAACTTGAGGTCAACATATGGCCCCTCCATGCCAAAAACATCAGTTGGTAAATGTCCTCAGCAATAATAACTTGAAATTGCGCATTGTGAGCTACATTTTGTGGTATTATGTTCGGCTCTCTTGTTCTCAAGGGACTCTACTACAAACTGGCAGCCTTTTCCGACCATTGCGAGGCCTCTTTAGCCCATTCTATATTGAAGACGAGTTGAGCTCATCTACACAATTCGTACTGCTGTTATCGAAGATGAGCTCAGCTCGTCCACCCTGAAAGAAATGTCTGCTAGCATTGCAACTAAGCTACTCTGATTCATTTTGCCGAGTTCTTTTTGGCTTGAACAGAGGGTGCAATAAAAAAATTTTAAACCATGCATTTCAGTCAAGAAGTGCTTGGATAGTGGTATCCGGAATTAAAAAACGGTCTCCTTCTCTAAGCGCAAGCTGGGCGTGCATGATGCCAACAGCTCCGTCCAAAAAGAAAAAGAAAAGAAATGCTTGTTTGATTTAGTATTGTTGAATTAAGAAGTTCAGTTCTCATGGTGTGAATGTGATAGCTACTTCACAAAGCAGCAATATTTTCTAAATTGTCAAATTTAGACACAGACTGTGTCTTAACGCATCTGAAAACACTGAAGGTGTTTTCATGCTGAACGCAGCATTTCTATGCCTGGGTTGTAACAAGTTTATACCTGCCTTTTAACTATAATAATCATTCTGTTCAAAAGTTACGGTGACACTAAGTTGAGAAATGACAAAGCATAGGTTATGTTCATATTGATTGCGCATAAGCTGTGCCAATCAGACGATAAGCATCCAGTGGCAGTCTCGCAAGAAAGATTGACAGCGCAAGCATGACTGCAATTCAATGCATTGGATTTGAACACAAGGAATAACATCAGTTTAGCGGTGCAAATAACTTTTGTGGTGATAATGCCCAATTTCCAGGAGCCTTGACATTCAAAAAAATTCATATTCAATCATTCAATTTTTTGCTCTAACATGATATCTGTCTGCAGCTGTACCAGACAAATTATGGCTCTTAAAGGGGTTCTGCAACACTTTTCCAGCATGGTCAGAAAACACTGCCAATCAGTGGTTGAGGCTCCTGTTAACACGCGATCCAAACAATATAGCACAGCATGTGGCCTAGAATTCACATTTAATTATCATATCCAGTAAAAATCCCTCTCTTTTCTCTCTACAAGTGATGCAATACACTCAAACGACCATGCCATACACCGAAATTCACAACCATGGGTTGATTTGAGCATCAAGGGCTGCATAGTTACAGCGCCCGCCGTGGGAGGCCGCCATATGCCTGTGCTCGCGATCTCACTCAGGGTTAGCTGCGCGTTAAAAAAAAAATTGTTTAGTCATGATGAGTGCGTGACGTAACTTGTTTTTCCTGTGCCATCTCTCCCTGCTTAGCTTCCAGCGCATTCATCAGGACGAGAAAAGAGAGAAAGCAATTTCAGAGTGCGGCAAATATATGTAGCTCTGCTTGTACTTCACAGATTCAAAAAATTTTTGCAGTGCTCGATTCTTTCTTTGAGAAATTATGCGATTGTTACTTGGAAAAGTGTTACAGGGTCCTTTGAAACCTGATTACAGGCAATTTTATAACCACGTTATGGTAATGGCCGTTTTATGTTATGGAGACGATCACACGTATGATAGTAGACATGCTTATCAAAGTGAAATTTTAAATAAGCAATAAAGCACAAAGCAAAACTAAAACCCAAACGAGCAGTATCTCTGTGTGGGACATGCTTAGATGTACTGTACAAGCTTGGGAGGCATTGAATGCATGCCAGTCAGGCCGGTGCAGAGAATGAAAATGTGTAGGTGAAGAGCCAGTATTGCTGCTGATTGCAATAGAGACAGCTATGATGTAAATGAATTCAAGAGTAATCGTGCTCCATTTGCATTCAACTTGCCACTATCTAATCTAGTTTCAAAAAGTGCCAGTAACCCATCACAGCACATCTTGCTACAAAGACCAAAGGTTATCCAAATCACCGATATTGCTGACCTAACTGCCGAACTACTTCCGCGAATGAGTGATGGTAACAAATCGAAGCAATAACAAGTGCATTTTTTTACATTAGAAGGCATAGCGACCACTTGTTAATCAGTCAATATAAAATGCAATTAATGCCTCAGTGACATCAAATAATGCTAGAACATAGCAAAACAAGCAGACTCTGCACACATGAGCACAATCACATCTCTGAATTGCACTAGTGTTACACTGAACATAAAGAATCGCAAATAGATGACCCTTTATTACTATGCACTATTATAGTTACCGTACTCATTAATCGTTCTCCACATTTGGTTATGCACTTTGTGTGTCTGATAAAACGAAATCTAGACTATGAATTTACGCATCTGACAGCTCATTTATAGATTGAGTAGCTTTTTTCATGGCATTCACTTACAGATGAGGAAGTTGTTTGGCGTGCTATGTCAAAGAGGTCATAGCTTGTCGCCTGCTTGGCACTAGTTAAATTGACAGGTATATATGTATGCAGGCAATAGTATTTTTTCTACCCTTAAACAAGTGTAATATGTTTTACCTAGAAGTAAATATGAGCATTTGATATGGCAAAGATTTAGGTTCATTGAAATAATTTTCGCGTGAGGCTGACTCCATTAAATTGAGGTTTAACGATATTTCAACTGGCATTTGAGTCAGGATGCATTACAAAAAAAATAAATTTAAATGGGTTAAAGACTTAGTTGCACCTTCACTGTAATCACTTATCACCTTCATTATATGTACTTTAATTTTTATGACCTCAAGGACTGTTTGTGAAAATCAGAGTAGAATAAATCAAATTAATAAATGCCCACTGCCAAGATTATACTAGTTTCTAGCACTGACAGTTCATGTTTTATGCACTACTTCACAACACAACTGGCTGAGCATGCTAGAACTGAAAAAGGTATAAAGAGGCACATAACTGAACAAAAAAAGAGGAACACAAATTATAGCACAGGATACTGCCACATGATTGTCACCGTAGTGTTCAGGCTTTTAATTCTTTCATATCATAGAAGCTCATCTAGCAGTCTTGGAACTTTTGGAAAATCGTGAACTGTCAGCGAACAAACTTACACAACCTTGCCATTAAGGTTAAACCAGTAGTGTCGACCAGTCTGCATTAGACAGCCTTGCTTTAATTTGCTTGCAGTAGAAGTTCATAAATACGTCAGAATATCAAAATGCACAATCAATTAAATCACATACATTACTATTGGCGAGGTTATACATGTCCACATGGAGTGCACATTAGGAACTTGCACAAAAATATTCTAGCACTAGAACTCATAACAAGTGCCTCCAAACCCTGTGTTACTATTATTATTATTAGTCAAAACACCCCTAAAAGCTCTGTTTACAAGGGCATTGAAAGGGAAGGAGCTAAGCATTAATTACAGAATATGTGGTGTGCTTGTTAACTTTCCATAGTAACTATCGTAAGTGAACTGCTGATAACTGCCAAATGAATGTCTATGTAGATAAAATTTTTCGGTCAACAAGAAAAACATGCATGCAAGCACACTAGCTGCTGTTCAACTTTGGTACCTAAATATGAGATGCATAAAAACCAATTGAGGGTGAAGTGTAAGCCCAAAGTATAAAATGCACAGGTACAAACCTTTGGAGGTTTCTCCTGTAGCTTCTTCCGCATTTCTGTAGAAAACAGCACATAAGCTGACCGAGCTCCTTTAGGTTTGTCCAGTTCTTTGAGTTTCTAGAAAATAAAAATGATCTTGCAACAGCTACATCAAATAAAATGCTTTAACAGCCGAGACAATATGTGGCATTTATTAGAAAAAAAAATTTAACAACCCATCCCTTCCTTCAGTAAAAGTTACCGTAATAAAATTATGAAATAAGCAACAACTTTTTCACAGTTCATTCAAGTGTGACAATTGCAGACACCTTTTGGTGTCTGCATATAGTTATATTGAATGATGGCTCAAGAAGTTGAATGTATCAGCCAGCTTCCAACATGCCGGCTCTGCACAATATTTGTTGTTGCTCAAATTATATATGCAGTTTTAACTGTCGTAATATACTACAGTTATATGACACAGCAAAAAGCAGGACAAAAAATTTTTGCGCAAACACATCTCCAATATGAAGGCCTTAGGCACAGTACATATTGAAGAGTGTATCTGTCAACAAACCAGAGAGACTTCAACAGATCAGATACTCACTAAAAGGAGTATTAGTAGTACATCAAGTTGACATGAAGAATACAAAGAAAAGCAAAATGCTGTGGTAAATAAGTAAGCAATACACTACTATGCTAGTTTGTTACATGTAAAATTTGGCACATCAAGGCAGATTTTATACTCACAGTACTACATATATTATATCATGCTTCAACAGATTCTATTAAAGATAATTAAAAACATGCAGTATGGACGTAAATTTTTATTTGACCCTTGGTGCGACAGCGGTACACATACATCCCACTTCTCTGTCTATAAAAAAAAATTTCTCACACATTGCAATTGGCGACTAGGTCACTCATATCTTACCTAGTCTTCATAATCTCGAGGAAAATTTTTTACAACACTTTCGAAAGGTAGAAGTAGTGTTACAATGGTCTTGAATTTCGATAAATTTTTCAGGAGATAGCTTCTGAATTATCCTCTTCTTCAGATAGAAAGAACCTATAAATCAAAATGCCAGATAATTTCCTCCTTTTCTCGTTTTTCAGAGAGGTGATTTTAGCTTCCAGTCATCACATGATTTTGTAAATCTAAGCAATCACTTGACCAATAAATGCATTGAAACTATGACCTGCAAAATTGTCATGCTCATCCCTCAGAACAATTGCAGATGCTGGTGTGTGAAAATATTTTTCTTGATATCATACACCTCCTGAAAAGTTGGAACATACTCAAGGACAACAGATGTACTCAACGATATAAACAGCCAATGTAAATACAGGCTCATTGACAAAAAAAATTGAATCATGCAGTGAAGTAGGCTTTATAGGAACAGACCACACCGCTATAAAGGCTCGCAAGAGGCGCAGGTGCAGGTGGTGTTCTACGACTCGAATGACATTGGCCCAACTTTCCTCGGCACAACTTGAGATATGATACTCTGTGCTACTTGATTAGGCCATTTGATCCCAACTACCCATTAACGCAATTGCGAGTGGTGCATTCATGAGTTAGTGGGACAATGTTGTCCCACTATTTGTAAAGACTCTCATGTGTCAGTGGGACATACATTTCCCACCTTTTTTTTTTTTTGCAAACCACCAGCTTGATTTTAATGAAATTTGTTTCATGCAATTACTTTGTAGTTTACATCAATATGCCACAGCCAGTTTTTATATTAACATGTCATAAAAATAGCAAACCCACATAGCATTAACTCAGAAGAGTGCTGCAACTTTATTTATCCACAATGTTGCTGACTAAATACCCTGTGACCCTTTGTTTCTTTCTTTTATAATAGAAAAAAAAATATTGGCCCGAATCCACATGTCACAATGTAAATGCCGTCGAAAGAAGATAGTCTTGCGTCTGGAGAGAGTGAACAAAATATTTATTTGATGTTCTGCGCAAGAAAATCTGTGAATGGTATTCTGCAGGCACTGCACTAGAGTGCCTCGAGCGTGCGGTGGAGGCAAACGAGCGCATCTAGGCACGTTAGACACAAGTGCCATCTGGCAGTTATCTTCGAAAACGAAGGCGTGCAGCCCGTGGAGAAAGATCCGCGCCAGTCTCGGAGGTGATAAGGTGTAGAACGCAAAGCGACGCGCAGGTGCCACCACCGTGACGTCGTAGCAAAGCGTTGGAAACACCTTTTTGAGCATCGCGTTGCACTATCAGTCCAGTGCGATTAAACGCTACATTCCTTAGAGTTACTTGTGTGTGTCTCTTCTAGTATAAAGGCAGACATAGAAAACATCGAAGCGTTGTTGTGGCACCTCAGATATGCACAATAATTGCTTTTCAATTGACAATCGCACAACTATGAACGCTAAACCTTGAGCAATATTGGTGGGCGCTGCGGATGGGGTTGGCCGTTTGATGCCGTTTGAGATATCGTTAAGGCGGACAAACAGACAAATATACAGACAGAGACAAAATTTTTTCGTCGAAGGTCCCCCAAAAAAACTATCGTCTTTAAAAAACTGTGCATGAAACATGCATCATAAACTTAAAAATCTTAAAGGGGTCATGGAAACCAATTTTACAAGTAATCATCAAATGATCTGAGTATTGGAGTTTATTGCTTCACAAAGTGATTGGCACAAGAATTTCTAGAATCCATCAAGAATGTGCAGAGCTACAGGAATTTTCGTTGCCCACTTTAAATGCTTTCTACTCATCTCGTTGAGCACTGGAAGCTATGCAGGGAAGGATGGCATGAGGCGAAAGTTACATCAGCACGCATCAGACGATGAACACGCGTGATTAAACACAATCACTCTTATCTATTATGATTCCTGTGTGTGAGTGTGCCTTACTGCATAATGTTAGCAGACTATAGAGGTCAGCAGTAGCACGCAGCGGCTTCCCATGGCAAGAAGCGTGTCTGATCCAAGCACCACTTTTGATTTATGACGACTACTGACCAATAGCATGCTATCTGCTATTCGACATCAAACAGCTTTGAAGTTTTGTGCAAAGGACGTGACAGAAATATTACTACTTGGTGTGTTAGACAGAAACCATGCCGGAAAAAAAAAAAACGATAACTTGAAAAGCATGCTGTAAACATGTAAAAGCTTCAAGATACATGAGGGAACCACATAATGTCAATACTGTATTAGTAACTGCATTGCACTAAGAAGGTGATGTGAAAAAAAAAAAAATTAAAGGGTGGGGTAAGGAGTTCAGTTGTAGTAACAGCGTTTCTCTATACCTTGCATTGTTAGTCAATGGAGTCACACATATCTGTTTTACCACAAAGCGAATCACTTGTTTTAGCACTTGTGCCATAGCAGTTGTTTCTCACACTGCTTATCATGCAAAAAAATGCTACAGTCAAACGCCTTTATAACAGGCGCTGTTGTAAGAGACAGTTGGGTATAAAAGACACCGGTGTGCCTGCATCAAAATGGAGGTTGATAAGAAGTCGCAAACATTCTACCTAGCTTATGAGAGGCACCTCATATAAAAGACAAGAATTTCTCAGAGGCGTATCTCCTTTATAAAGGGGTTCAACAGTATTAAGAAAGAAAGCTAGAAATACATAATCCTGAATCAATATCAACTATTAACATGCATGCTGTCCACTATTATTAGCATGCTGTTCTGCACATTAACAAGAACATTAATTGTACTGCTAACTTTTAGGCAGTTAAATTTACCAGAAAAATGATTGCTAATAACTTTCACGCTATATAAAAAGTGTATATAGTAAAACCTCGTTAATTCGAAACCACTGGGGCCACGAGAAATCTTGGAATTAAGCAGATTTTCGAATAAACATGACATACAAAAAGTGGGATGCAAGGAACTTGGAATTATTCTATGTAATCAGGGCTAGTCGTTTGCTGTGACGTCTAGTTTGCGGCTCCAAGGGTTATGTTTTCCAGCAATACCTGGTCTTATTTTTGCTGCAAACACGGGAGAACGGCGGACCTCGCGGCTGCCACTGGGCAAAAATTAGGACGCTGTCCTGATTAAGTGAAATGCGCGCCTGAGGAAAACAAAACATCTTCACTAAAACACAGCATCTACATCGCCAGCTTCTTGTTGCGTCAGCACGTCATCATGCGACCATTCACCCATTCTTTCTGATAAAATAAAGAATTTAATAATGGCCAGTGTGACGAAATGCGCAATGTATTTTGGCTGGAAAACATGATCATTGAAGCTTCCGAACTTGGTTTTCGAAGTAGGCGTTGCAGGCAAAAACTCCGCCAGCAGTGCAAGTGTGCAAATTGCTGGAGCAACCCGGAATCGAAGGTTCACGTAAATGGTGAATTCGGCCAGATTGTCCTTTTTAATTTCTTCACAATCCCAGAAAGAATGGATACATAATGAAGTGCTGACGTTGTGAGAAACATGCAATATGCTGCATGTCTGTCACCAGGTTTTCCGCAGGCACACAATTTAGTTGACCATGAGGCAGTTTTATTTTATTTTTTTACCTTTTGTATGCTGGAAGTAGCAAGGCGGGAATGCTGCAGCTGCCACTTATCAGTATCACTACATTGCATTGCCTTGAGGCTCTTAAGGGCCGTCATTTCTGCGAATCTACGGCAAAACCAGTATCGGGAACTGGCAAATGGCACCCAGTTATCGAATTAACCAGACTGGTGCTGACCACCGCTTCAAATTATCCACTCAGACTTACACTGCAAAATACGGGACCGCGGAAATATTTTGAATTAGGTGAGATTTCAAAATAACCGAGTCCAAATTAAAAGGTCTTGCTGTACTTCTGATGTACTTAAAAGTCTTCCCAAGTGAATTAAAAAATGGTGACATTTGGGACACCCACCACCATACCCCTGATGTATTAAAAAATAGATACTACACAAAATGTACACCAAGAAGAAGCGTATTCAGGCAAAACATGTCACTCAAATGGGCAATCATAAAATATCAGCGAGGACATGGCAAAATGTTTTTCTATAATGTTAACATGCCAGTGGTCTTAATACCATTGGCAACAAAGTTGTGGAGAACATACTCACATCATTCAACTTCCTTTTAGTGAGCTTCAATTTCTTGTCCAGCCTGACGTCTTCAAGGGCTTCCTTCTGCTGCTCAGTCAATTGAGAATCGTAGGCAGCCTTTTCTTTCTGATACTGCTCAAAGCGTTCACGAGCTAAAGCAGCATATTTCTGCAAAAATGAAGTGAATAATGTGGTTAAGAACTTGTAAATCTTTGTCTACAAACAAGTTTACAAGTGTGAAATTACTCACATTTCTTGTATTATCGTCAGCAGTTTTCCATTTTCCTGCAACTGCCTTAATAACTTCAGTAGCTGTGAGGGCTGCCAATAATTAAAGAGACAAAACAGATAATTATTTCAGCAACCTAAGTAGCCGCTAAATATGACATGGCATGTCAATTTTCCAGAATGTATATGAGCACAAATAGCAAAAAGTCAAGACATTTCTGAAGAATCAGCCCATGAAAAACACAGTGATTTCAGAACTGTTTAATGTATATGATATAACGTACCACTGATGTAACTTCTAACGGTAAAGTTTATCTAGTGACTGAACATGCAAGAAAACATGCACATGCAGAACAAAAGAAAAAAAAATGACAAGGCTTTCAGCTTGCGTGATGTTCAGATATAACAGAAAAGTAAATACTTTTAGTTTCCGTAATAGTATTACATAATTTTAATGCATACATAGGAATCTATTTCAAGTGGTTGTTGAAACGCTGTACAAAATGTGTTGCATAAAACTTTTCTTGTTTTCTTTCCTGGCAGTGTAATCTCATGCAATCTATACCTGTGTGCAAGCTATGCTGAAATACAAGCACCAGTTCATGTACCATATATGCACACACTGGACATTGGAGCAGCAGTGCGCCGAGGACAAAAGCAGTGTATAACATATGTGAGGGAGGAATGGTTAGGGTACGCATAGACAAGAAGTATGGTCCTTATGTAAACTAATTTAACACTTGTGTACTACAAGTTGCCAATGCACATACATATGGCCAAGATTGGGAGATGCTAAGTATTAAAAAAATATGGAAATTCAAAGAAGCAGCCTTAAGTCCTTAGCAGTGATGGAAGAGACATTTTTAATTTTGGAGCAGATTCCGGAGCAGAAAAAATTGTGCTTTGGAGCAGCCATAGGTGCTTTTGGACCAGAAAAATAATGCTAGTTTGGAGCAATTATTGACGTTCTAGGAGCAGATAGCAAAATATTCCAAATTACTCTTGGAGTTTAAACTGCCATCTGAGCTTCTGATAGATATCAATACTTATCAAACATATTACACATACAATAATCACTTGAAGTAGCGTGAAACAAATAATAAACACTAAGATGAGATACCTATATTTGAAACACCAATACTTGTGGTAGAAATCCTAAAAAGCTATAAAGCTAAGCACTAAATAAAAAGCGATAAAGCTGAGTCATTGCCACATGTATATATTGCAGAAGCAGCAGTCTATAATCACTGCATGTTTTGATAATTCACCAAAACAGACAGCCTAGAAATTTTCAACAGTACCGTAAAATAAGTTAAATGAGCTTTACACTTAAATACCACTTCTTGAGATATAAATTAGCTCAAAGCTGCTAAAGTAGTGAATCTAATCAGTCATATATCAAAGTTGTCATAGGAGCAGTTAGTAAACATTATGATGCTAAACTAACTAAACACACATTTCATAAAAATAGTCTGCTTGTAAGATATAGAAGTCCACAATGTTAGTACATGTAGCATTGTCAATATGCTAGTATACAGTCAGTTTTTGTTTTCGTTTAGGCTCATTGGATGGCCACGCGATTGAACTTCACTGTTTTCAGTTTTCCGACTCCATTTTGGAGCAGGTTTGGAGCAAATTACCAACTAAAATTGCAGTTTGGAGCAGGATGGAGTAGCATTTCTTTTTTAGAGCAGTACTTACATCACTGACTTAGCTACTTAAGTGAGAGGTCTGTATACTTTACCTAGGAGCCAAAATTATGCATACGTACAACATTATTAATTATTTGCTTCCTATTTGATAATGCGGAACAGAGGTCTGCGTAATCGCATAACTTTGTTGGGTCATAATTCCAAGCAATATAAATTTCTAAGACAACACTTAGTAGAAACATGCATCCCATGCATGCATGCATGTGACGCAAATAAACAACAAAAATGATCTAGGATCTCCATTTCCGTTTGTCACAATGACATAAAGCCAAGTGACCCCGCTACGGTGGTCCAATGGCTTAGGCACTCGGCTGCTGATTCGCAGGTCGCGGGATCAAATCCTGGCCGGGGCAGCCGCATTTTTGATGGAGGCAAAAATGCTTGAGGACTGTGTGCTTAAATTCAGGAGCACGTTAAACAACCCCAGATGGTCGAAATTTCCGGAGCTCTCTACTATGGTGCCTCTTATAATCATATTACGCTTTTAAGACATTAAACCCCAACAATTATTACTATTATAAAGAAAATTTATGATCAAAACAGAAGAGAGCCATAAAGCAATTACTCAATCGAGATGAACAATTATAAACAAAAAAATAACAGAAAAAAAGAGAAAGAAAAAAAATCTGCATAAAGAATATGAATTCACATCTTCGCATTACAGGTGAAGAGAATTTGGCTCTCTCTTACACACACAAGCACATATGCACGCAGCAAACACAATTTTCCCAGAAGGGTTGTTCAGCATTATGATGTATAGCAATGCTTGCCTAATCACCTTCAAAGTAGGTCACTTGTACGCACAAACACTTGCTCCATTGCTCCTTCTCACGTTAGATGCAACAACAAAAGGCTTCTTCAGGATTCTGCCAGAGCTTACCCATTGCATTCACTTTATGTACTCCACTATTGCGAAATGTATCCCCTTGAGGCCTAATTTCAGAATATAGAACAGTCAGAAGTCACAAGAAATGAGATCCAGAAAGTATGGTGGTTGAGGAACGAGCAAGATGTTACTCATGGCAATGAAGTGCTGCATATTGCAACGAACTAAATAAAAAACAGCCACGAATCGATGTCTTGCTCACCCCCAGACCAGGAAGCAAAGTCCTCTTTTTTCTCCACTTCCAAGCCATTTCACGCTACAACAGTTTGCTGGTGATGAGCGTTGAAAAAAAAAAATGAGAAAGAAAAGATGCTACCACAGAATCTAACAACTGCGTCCTAAGGAAAATAAAAAGGGGGGGCTGGTGTCACAGAAGTACTCAATAAAGAAAGGAGTTAGGACACAAGACAATCAAAAAGAAACAAAAGTGACAAAAAATAGTCATTGCATGGTAAGTCCACGTTCGATTGATGACGCGAGAAATGTGGCTTGAGCCTTGAAACATGCACCACATCACTTTGTGGAAACCGATGGGAACGTCTTGAGGTGCCCTCAGGGAGAACTTCGTATGTAACATCACTGAGCCAGCGTTGAACTTTGTACGGGCCGAAGTAGCGCCGCAGCAGCTTTTCAGTGACGGCGCGTTGAGCGAGCAAGGCAGCGTCCGAGTTGGGGAACATGCCCAGGTTGTTGGGAAGGAGCATTGTCTCGAGCTTTGTAGTGACCTCTCGACCAGGAACTAAGCGAAATGGCGTGAAACCTGTACTCTCTTGGACTGCTGTATTGTAAGCAAAAGTTACGTAAGGGAGTATATCATCCCAGTTCTTGTGATCAACGGCCACATACATTGACAGCATATCTGCAATGATCTTGTTCAACCGTTCAGTGAGTCCGTTTGTTTGGGGGTGATAACCTGTGGTTTTCCGATGTTCTGTACCACTTAGTCTCAGCACTTCTTGAAGCATCTCTGCGGTGAAAGCTGTCCCACGATCAGTAATTATCACAGCTGGCACTTCGTGATGAAGAACGATGCTGGTAACGAAAAACTGGGCGATTTCGGCTGCAGTAGCCTTGGGCAGGGCCTTTGTTTTGCTGTAACGTGTTAAATAATCGGTGGCAACCACAATCCACCGGTTTCCAGATGAAGATGTGGGAAACAATCCGAGCAAGTCAATGCCAATTTGATGGAATGGTGTTTTCCGCGTGGCAATAGGCTGTAGTAGTCCTGCTGGTCGAAGAGGTGGAGTCTTATGGCGTTGGCAGTCGCGGCGTGTGCGGACGTACTGCTTGAATGTCTTCGCAAAGCATGGCCAGTAGTATGAGCGGCGAATTCTTTCCAAGGTGCGCGTGTAGCCAAGGTGTCCGGATGATGGTTCATCGTGACAAGCATGTAAAATATCGTCCCGAAGCGAGGTCGGCGCAACCAGTAGGTAAGTAGCCTGGGTATGGTTGAAATTTTTCTTATAGAGGACTCCATCCCTGATGCAGAATAAGGCTAGCGAACGTGCGAAATTTCGAGGAAGACTGCTTTTTCCGCCTTCGAGGTAGTCAATCAGCGGGCTTAGCTCCACGTCGGCGCGTTGCTGTTGAGCCGAGTCGGTTGCTGATACAGAGGAAAGGAATGTATCGTCCTATTCAACGTCCGCGTTCGTACCTCCAATTGGCGCACGTGAGAGACAGTCAGCATCGGTGTGTTTGCGTCCTAACTTGTGAATGACTGTAATGTCAAATTCTTGCAGCCGAAGGCTCCACCGTGCCAGAGGACAGGAAGGATCTTTGAGGTTGGCGAGCCAGCATAAAGAATGGTGGTCACTAACTACCCTGAATGGTCGACCGTACAAATAAGGCGGAAACTTTGTTATAGCCCAAACAACAGCTAAGTATTCTTTTTCTGTTACAGAGTAGTTTTTCTCTGCAGATGATAGTGTTCAACTTGCATAGGCAATGACGCATTCTACGCCATTTTGCCATTGAACCAATACAGCTCCAAGTCCGACGTTGCTGGTATCCGTGTGTAGCTCTGTGGCAGTGTTGCCGTGAAAGTGACCGAGTACAGGTGGGGCTTGGAGACGGTTTCATAGCGTGTCAAAGGTGTGATGCTGATCCTGACCCCATACAAACGGTATGCCTTCTTTTGTAAGTTTATTTAGTGGCTCAGCGATTTTAGAAAAGCCTTTGACGAAGCGTCTGTAATATGCGCACAGTCCCACAAATCGGCGGAGATCGCGCTTGTTAGTTAGGACAGGAAATGAGACAACAGCTTTCGTTTTCTCAGGGTCTGGGTGTATACCGGCGTGGCTGACGTGACCAAGAAACTTCAGTTCCTTGAAAGCAAAGTGACATTTCTCAGGTTTGAGAGAAAGTCCAGCTGTTCGAATCGCCTGAAGAACTGTCTGTAAGCGCTGTACGGGCTGCTCAAACGTGTCTGAGAAGACGACCACATCGTCAAGGTAGACCAGACACGATTGCCATTTTAGCCCAGAAAGAACCGTGTC